CAGGAAATCCTCATCACTCACTGGTGATACCAAACCAAGGCCACAGTTTCACAATACAAACTGTTTGGTGGCCAACCTGTCTTAAAATGTTTCTCTCCTTTCACCCGCACTGCTCATCCACACCTTGCTCCTCTGGTTGCCCTCAGAAAAAACACCTAATCTGCCACACTGTACATCAGACAGAACCGCTCCAAACCAGAGCTGTTTTTAACTCAGAACAGTGCTCTGCTCCAGTTTAACATGCAGCCCCAAAAACTTTTGTATTGGCAGAACGCAGGTGAGGGAGGTCCAGGTAGCAGCACCTACTTCAGTGAAAGGTGCCACTAAAAAGTTTTCATACAACTGCAGCTTGAGAACATGATGCGGGGGCAGAAATACCTTAAGCTGGTATCGCCATCAAACATGTTGGATCATGAAAATACCACCAAAGGGTGTAGTTTCATGGGACATGAGCTTGGACAGCAAAGCAGCTTAGAAGTTTCCACCCTGCCTGCTCATTTCAGTGATCCTGTTTACAGCACAGCTCCACAACGAGTTTTACTGACACAACAAAAAGATGGCAAAGTATGGTGCAGGGGCAAGAAAGAAGCTGGCTTCACTGCTGAAACCAAATCTTGTGAAACTACACCCTAAGTATTTGTTGTGGAGAGAACAGCCTGCTCAGTAACACTTGCCAAAGGTTTGCCAAACACCTGCTCCAAAACTTCAGAACTCAGACCCAGTAAATATTCCAAAATACAGACTCTGTTAGGAATTTTATTGAGGTGATGCAGTCACCAAATAATCCGAAGTTGGAAGACCAACCATGAGACTCAAAAAAACCCCAAACACAAAACCAAACCAAAAAAAAAATCCAACGTACGAACCTGCATTTTCAGGCTTTTTTCTGCAGTCTGAAGGTCCAGAGGTATAGTAAAAAAAATATTCAAAAAAATCTTTTATCCAAAATGAAGGTGTGACAGCTGGCAAGTGAGCCAAGAAAACTTTCTGCTAGCACTTTGTGAAGAAGAGGCTGCGGAACAAGTTTCTCTTAAAAAAAAAAAAATTGTAACCGGTTTATCAGGTTAGAGGTATTCACTGGTTCTTCCGTGTCTCCCCCCATCCCATTTGTTTCCAAATGGTCATCCAACCAGCTTGTTTCTTGCTGAATGTTTTGATATGTGAGAAAATAAATAGTACCTGCAGCTCTGCTGGATGATCAGTAAGCATCCAAACATGCTTTACAGAACTGGTAATTTGCTATCACCTGATGAAGTGGCAACCTGTCAGTATTTTCAATTTGTGCATAGTTTAGAAGAGTGGGGGAAAAAAGGCCCATCTTTGTCTTTCTATGTTTAAGAATATGAATCAAATCTATCATTGATGTATTAGATTCAATGTACAATGCGATGAAAGATCAGCAAGACTAGGACGGTCTTTCAAACAATTTTTTAATACTTAAATGTCAGTCCATAGATGAAATGTGACTGCTTTCAATAGGTCCAAAAGCAGACCCAGCTCTCATGAGAGCCTCTCCCTTTTTATGTACATCGTTCAAAGTAAGATGGTAATTACAGCTAAATACTGCAGACAGCTCTCCAAAATTATTAGCTCGTCTTAGACTTATCCTTTGTCAGGGAGACATGCAAATACTGCCTTGCAAAAGGAAAGCAACATGTCTTAAGGCAAATCATGCTGATTCAGCCAGGTTTTCTGTATGGGAAAGATTAAGAAATCCACAACGCTTTCAACACAGTATTCGATCTTTAACTTAGAACCTCCATGGCTAGAATCAGAGAAGCACATGAAGACATCAGCTTTTTGATAACAGAGTAATGGGTCTGAGAGAAAGGCAAAGTTCACTTTGGTTTTGCTCCTTAAAAGCAAGCTTCCATTCCTGCAAGGTTTCAGAGCAAGCTGAAAATAAATTTCTCCCTTAAAAGCTTGGAAACTGGGAAACCATAAAGCTCCAGCAGTTATTTAGAAAAATACAAATAACATGCTAAATAAGCCAGTCCTGTGATTTGAGGATCTGAACAATGAAACCTAGCAAGAACGTCCCAGTAATACAGGAAGAAACGTAGGGCGCTATTCCCTTCAGTAGGTAGTGTAGGTAATGCATGTTTAGAGGCTTACATCACAAGCTCAAGACAGTTCCAAATACACACTTGAACAACATATCTCCTACTTACTTTGTTAAAAAAAATCCTCACATTTTTCTACTCAGTAGCATTCTGCAACTACAACAACACATCTCAGTCAGCAGCTGTAAGTTCACCATTATTGGTCCAACAACAGACATAGTTCAAAATGGCATTAATAACTTAAATACATCAAGCAGTCTGCTTCCAAAGGGCACACATTTTATGACTTCAGGTAACTATTTCCCTAATATTCATACATTACCAGGATCTCCCCTCCCCACCCAAAACATAGCTATCAAAACATTGCACATCACCTATCAGAAAATATAGCTGGATCCCATAAATGCACTAGCACCTGTGGAATCAAATGCTTGTTACCCTGGACAAGTACCGTATTTAAAAGCTTGCAGCAAAATGTATCGAACACACACCGCAGCAAACAGCTCGGTTATTTGGGGGCACTGTGGTTCAGAACCTCACTTTGTATAATTACACAGCAAAAACATATCGATGGGGAACCCTCCTATTTTAGAATATTTCTTAAGACAATCCCAAGTAGTAAGTCATGCGAGATGTAACACTGTAAGAATATGAAGTAAAATTGAAATGATGCATCATTTATTGAAGTGCCTTGTTACAAGCAGAGGAAACACTTAACCACAGATTACAGGTTTTGGTAGACCCTATCATTGCTGGAAAGTGAAATAAATAGTAATAGAAGGAGGCTTTCTGTGGTCAGTGGAAAAACTCCAGACCCACAGTAGCTGATCTGCTGTTTACCAGTTACAAATCACAGAATCAGAATCACAGAATGGTTGAGGTTCGGAGAGACCTCTGAAGCATGGATAAAAGTTACCATGGACTTGTGCTTAGTGATTCTCACTTCCCTCTACATGTAGAGACTGGGAACCCAAGGCAAAAGCCAGAAGCAGGCACTGAAACTTTCATTTACGTGATTGAGATGTGTGCTCAATTGAGCAATTTTCAGCTGCATCATCAAATTTTCTATCAGAATCCAAGCAGGGTGTGGAAAGCTAGTTTCACATACTCTATAACATTATCTCAAATCAAGGTACAAGTCTACTTCCTTTTCCTCCTCCTTTTCAAATAACCACTTCACCCACCTGTGCTTTTGCTAATCAAAATACTTAACTGAGAAAACAAAAAAAAAAAATCTGTATGTGTTGACAAATACCTGACTCATCCTTAAAATACACGATGCAGTTAAAATATTAAATGGACTTATCCTCAAAAATACAGAAAAGGATCTACTATTAAAGAATATGGAATTTTGCTTTTTGCCACCGTTGCAAGTGGGAGGATGAATTAATTCTCTCCTAATTCCCACGGAGCCAGAACACAGGGAGGGGAAGGGAGATGAGCTTAGGTAAAGTGTGTTCCAGAAAACCTGTGACGGAACTGGCCACATCACAACTGGCATCCAACAATTAACAGCATAATCATTATTTAGTTGCATAGCTATGCCAAACAAAAAGGGAAAAAATTGTTGTTTTTCAAGAGTCTCTACCCACCTACACACAAAGGTAGTATTTCCTTTTATTTGCTAAAGCAGACCCACCTACAGTGCAATTTACGGCAATAAGATACAATCTCTCATAAGGTATTGAGTATAATTAAAGTGTGTCTGTTATAAAGGTAAACAGAGTGTACTAGGCTAAGCTGTTCCAGATGTCTTTAGTGCAAGATCTGGGACAAGATCAAACCTGCAGCTGCACATTTTCTCAGGGGTTATTTTGAAGCTTTAAAAAAAAAAAAAAAAATCACCTCTTGGTCTTGGACTCTAGCAAAACTAGTGCAAGTAGCATAAATGCCATTTGCACATTTGCAGCTATGTTGACAGATTTTAAGACACATAAAAGTTACACATTTCTATTTTCAAAGATACTCACTCCAGAGTGAAGTGTTAACCATTCAGTATCAAAGAGGGTTAGGACCTAGTCTGCCAAGTTATCTGTGTCACCAGAAGTTACAGCAACATGAACCTGTTCTACTGCCTAAGCAAGTTGCTTGCTGAAACACACCTACAAATGATTCAGACAAGGTGTGGAAAGCCAGTTTTATATGTTACACAAAAATGCACTATTGTATTTTTCCATTCAAGCACATTTCGTATATAAAAAAGACAGTGAAAGCAAGCCAACTTTCAGGAACTGCACGTGTACACACTACTTGCATTAAAATTTTTTAGGTAATGTAAGGCCTCTCGAACCACAAGGGTCATATAAATTTACAGATTTACTGTCTTACTGTGATATTAAGTGAGCCAAAGAATAAAATACAAAAATCATAGAAAAAAAACATCAATCACTTTATAATCCACTAAACTAATTAAGCTCATCTGGAAAAGAGTGATACAAAACAAGCACAGCTGATGTTTTATGAAAGTATAGCTTTGAAGATTTCAACTAACTTTAAGAATAACAAATGAGAAAAGGTCAAGTTTTTTAGTGCACATTATAGCAGTGAACCTGTAGATTAAAACATACCACCTGAATTTTGAAAGTTTGACTAGCTCTGCTAAGTTGAGTAGTGCTCTTACCGGCCTACTCTTTTAAGGCCTGAGTAAGAGAAATTTGGAATAAAAGTAGACCCATCAAAATAATCAGAAGCCAGATCTTCCAAGGACTAGAGCAGATACAGATATTCTGGCATTGTACATAACTGTTTCAGAATTACAGGGTTCCCATTTCAAATGGTTCAGGTCTCTTTTGGGTTAGCTTTAAAACAAGCACAAAAACTTGCTAGTGATTTCAAAGTGAAAGGCAAAATTAAAGTCTATTTCTTTTCTCAAAGCAGTTGAATCTTGTCCCCAGGCTTCACCCTGAATAGCCCCGGCTCCCAAGAGCAGCACCTCACCTGTTGAAGAACCCGGTCCAGCGGCTCAGCTTTGCCCAGTCCCTCTGGTGTCAAGCCACTCACTTCGCGACACTGGTCACTTAAGTCCAAATTGTCTGCTTTCACCAGGGATTTGTGTAGTGTCCCTACCTAAAAACATTTAAGAAATGATGGGCAAAAGTGAGGAACAATCGAATTAGCTCTTGTTAGCAATGCGTTCAGACTGCAGAAAAATCAGGAAGGTGCAGTATTACGTTCCCGACAACAATCGCGATGAGCAAAAGCATTTGTCGATTTCACAAATCGAAACCTTTTGCCTCGGTTTCTTTCCCTCCCACCCAGGAGAGCCACGCTCTCTGCTTCGGTGACTCGGAGCCGGGTTGCAGGGGTCGCCTTTTGCAGTTAGCACCGATTTTTACGGGAGTTGTTAATTGCAAAGGGGAGATCACATAATATTAAGGCAGTTTCCTGAATCTATTAATGTAATTGATAGTCGTGTTTGTTTTATCTAAGCCCTTCATCTCCAGGGGGTTCTTGTTTATGATAGGGCTTTTAGGAAAGAAAAAAAAAAAAAAAAAAAAAAAAAAAAAAAGAGCATATTTTCAGATTAGCCTAAAAATTAAAGGAAGTTGATATTCTCTTGAAGGTTATCCGAACGTTGGTTTAAAAAAAGACCAAAACCCCAAAACCCAGGTCTCCCGCAGCAGGCCGCAGAGGCTCCAGCGGTTACCCTGAGACAGCCTACTGAAGGCAGCTCTGTGTTTTAAAGCTTCAAGAGTCCGCAGACATCTTCGAATTTGAAGCTACACATGTCCTCGGGGGGACGGGGCAGGGGGGTGGAAGCGGCCAAACTCGCCTTAGAAGTCCCTTCTTCCCGTAAAACGGAACAAAAAGGACCTTCTTGATGCCTAACCCGCTGAGTGAGTGACCCCGGGGCACGGGGGCCCCGCTCCCTCCCCTCCCCTCCCCTCGGTGCATTTGTGAAATGAACAAACGGCTCCGGGGAGGCGGCGAGCGGCCGGGCGAGCCTGCTCGCCCTGCGCCCGGGGAACGCGCCCTCGGACCGGGTGTCGAAGCCATACCTTCTTGCTGTGTAGATCCACAACTTGCCACACCAAGAGAATTAGTTCCCTCTCATCCGAACCCAGTTTAGCCCCATATGCACCAGCTGTTGCCCCAAACAACACCACCAAAGAGTCACTGTGCGAAGCCGTCATGACCACAGGGGGAAACAACTACAATCAAAAGCAGAGGTCAAAAAAAAAGAGAGGAAAAAAAAAGAAAAAAAAAAAGAAAGACACACAAACAAACAAAAAAAAGAACAAAAAAATCCCATAAGGCTCACCCCCTACCTCCAAGTGATCAAAGGGGAAAGGAGCGAACGAGGAGTCACAATATCAAGAGGAGAGAAAGAGCTGTTTAGGAGGTAAGGGTGTTTGAGACAAAAAAAATGGAGAAAGCTTGCATCTCTACCTGTTCCCGGTGATCTTCTTCCCGGGGCTGATTGGGAGGTGAAATTAGCAAGCTGTGGGTTTCTTTCCCTCTGACATCATGGCAGAAGCCCAGCCTGGGCTTGGGCTTTTTTTTTTTTTTTTCTCTCTCTTCTTTTTTTTTTTTTCCCCCCTTTCCCCTTCCCCTCTCCTACGTTCCCGC